CATTAGCTCGTAAATGTCCCGTCGCTCGCACTGCGAGCGACGCGAGATTTACACCGCCAACCACCGATAATTCGGCGCCACCAGCTCGTAAATCTCCCGTCGCTCGCACTTTGGAGCGATGGATCGCTCAAGCGATCCATCGCTCGGGCCGTGATGTGCCTCCTTGGCCGTTGTGGCAGGGAGCTGCGAGCGACGGGAGATTTACGAGCTGATGGCGCCGAATTATCGGTGGTCGGCGGTGTAAATCTCCCGTCGCTCCTGCAATTGGTGCAAAATCGCTCCAATCGCAAAGTCTGACATCGGCCAGTGGACCAGAGGTTCCCGCAGCGAATCATCAGTGGACCTGAGATTCCCACAACGAACAATGTTTCGCGCTGCGAAGCGCGAAAAAGTCGCTTTCTGTCCTAATGAACCACACCCGCACAGCGTGAGGTAGGACGGTGGGAGGAAAGGAGATTCTGCACTATTGTACACCCCTCCCCCCGCTCGACGGCCATTTTGGAGGAAAAAGCGGCGGAGTTGGGCTGTGTCGACTGGATCTCAGAATCAAATACTATAGAACAGCCATGATGGCGAGGGTGGTGGTCGGGGTAGGAAGAAGGGTGGTCGTATTGGGGGAGCCTCCTGAGTCTCGTGGTGGTGAGTGGCATCGAGACCTCCCTAAAGGAGGGGTCGCGAAATTTTGAAAAAGTGCGATCGTCACGGTTGACCCTGGTTATAGATAGAGCGAAATTTTGCGCTTAAATTTCCCGCATATCTTATTTGTCAATTCCATTTCAAGGGAAAGTAGAGCTTGAAGAGATTGAGTTGTGCTCTATGCGCATCAAATATGAGCTAGAATTATTGAGATTTGAGGTATTACTATCCAATTATGGAGGCAGCATCAGTGGTTTTGTTTTTTAGGATTGGTACGTTTGTGCTGACGTCGTACGGCATGAGTGTGGTGGAGTCTTGTACACAGAAAGGATTTCATGTCCATCCCGAGGACGAAAAATTGTTTGTGGAAGCCGATCACGTCAAATATACCAGGAAACTGAGGTCATTGGCCGGAGAAGAAGTAGCTGGCTTGCGCCTCATTGAAGGACACAATCCCACATGTTCGCCTTGAGATCTTAGGTTATGATATTGAATACAAAAGCAGTCGCAGTTTAATCAGTAGATGATGAGAGCAAAACCCTTCCACGTGGTATAACACTCCGAGTTGCAAAACTACGACACCCCAAATTTTGGGAAGTTCTTGAAGTTAGCGATCAGCGTAATGAGCAGGGAATATAGTCAATGCCGTTCTGGATTTTCAGCGTATGCAACAAAGCGCTGACAGATCATCATCGAATTTTCCTTCAGGTTTCAAAAAGACGTAGGGGTCGAAAAACGATAAAAACAAGCTCGTTGCAAAAACTATACGACATAGCTACTTCTGATTCTCAACACTCCTCAACTATATCCAGATTGGAAACGAGAAATATTACCGTTTCATGTTGCATACATATACCATATATGTTTCTACTCCACATGGAGCAAAATGCCACGCAACAATCGCCTTTCTATGGACGAGCAGGCTGAAATCGACGTCATGCGCGACCTGGGATGGAGTGTTCGCCGGATGAGCCAGCGGATCGACCGCTCTCGAGACTGCATTGCACGGTATTTGCGGAATCCACTCGCGTATAATACGAAAACTTTAACCGGAAGACCGAAGAAGCTGAGCGAACGTGATCGCCGTTCAATTCTTCGATTGGCGTCGAACAGCACGAAGACGGCTAGCGAAATCAGGGAAGAATTGGGGCTCCAAGTGAGCAAAGACACGGTCATACGTGTGATTAATGACTCGTCATACATAGTCCGTGAGAAAATGAAGAGTGCTCCCCGACTTACGAAGGAACACAAGGAGGCTCGTCTTTGCTTTGCAAGAATCAACATGCAGACAAATTGGAAGACGGTAGTACTAATTATTACGTGTAGTTTTGGACGACCATGAGTGGTACTTGCTGTTGCAGATCATTTTTTCCGACGAAAAAAAGTTCAATTTGGATGGGCCGGACGGATGGCACTCGTATTGGAGAGATCTGCGCAAAAATCCAATCACCTTCTCTAAGCGGAACTTTGGCGGTGGAAGCGTGATGTGCTGGGCGGCTTTTAGCTGGTGTGGCAAGCTGGATATAGTCTTCACGACTTGCCGAATGAATTCCAGTGATTACCAGGACGTGCTCAAAAACCACCTTCTACCATTTATGAGAAGAAATCGCCGCCATCGTCTCATTTTTCAGCAAGACAACGCTGCCATACACGTTAGCAGATCAACTCTGGATTGGTTCGAGGCTCATCACATCGATTTACTGGATTGGCCTGCATGTTCCCCCGATCTGAATCCGATGGAAAATCTGTGGGGCATCCTCGCGCGTCGAATCTACGCTCGGGGAAAACAGTACGAGACAGTGGCTCTCTTACAAAAAGGCGATACTCGAGGAATGGGCACTGATACAGAAGGAGGTTCTGAAGAAGTTGATTGAGAGCATGCCAAATCGGCTGTTCGACGTGATAGCACATCATGGCGGACCTGTTGACTATTGACCTATCACATACTGCTATATGGTTTACAATTGTTGTGGAAACGTGTACTGAAATAAAATTCCTGTGAAAAAAAATGTGCTATGTCGTATAGTTTTGCAACGGCCTTTTTTTCGTTTTTTTGATCCCATGCTTTTGAAAATGAATGAAATTTGAAAGTGAATCTCCTCAGTAGGTTTGTTAACACGCTGAATCGAATGGCAGTAGACGTTTTCCTGCTAATCCCACCCTCGCCTCAGAACCCCGAAATTTGAGGTATGTCGTATAGTTTTGCAACGGAGTGTTAGTCACTGTGAGGCGGCAGTTGGACCATATCGGCCATAAACGTCATTAGTCTACTTTTTCTGATAGGGTAAACAGAACGGGTAAACCAAATCGGAATGGAGCGCGGGGGGGCAATGTGATTCCACTTCAACGTCACTTTCAAGCAGATGCTGCTGAGGCAGTTTCGCGCCCTTTATAGCATCATCTGACTTCCTCCCAAATTTGATTGCTTTAGACAGTGCAGGTATCATCGTGGAGTTTGCATTTGTGTGCTTTTTAGCAGCGAATATAGTACTCGGAGGATATGGCGGGAATTCCGGGCCGTTGTGGTGGGTTAGCCATCCTCCTTTTCAAAATCTTGTCTTTTGAATCAGATGTTAAGAAATACGTTCACCGATTTCTACTTTATTGAGTTGATCTCATCCACTGGTGATGTTCCTCTAGTCAGGGCACTAGATGAGTCATACTTTCAGTGTAATCACATTTTTGCTAATAAGGTGTACGTACTTATCCCTGGATAGAATTTCACTGCTGTAACAGTTTGCGATATTTAAAGGTGCCTTCTAATAATTGTAAATTTGGAATAAATATTAATAATGATATCCTTGATTTCATTTTCGGATAGCATTCCATCGATATCTTCGCTATCAAGTGACATAGTTGCTATGCAGTTGATTTTATGTCCAAACTGATGTTCAAGTTCAGAAATGGTCGCTACACGCAGACGCCCGCAAGCAGAGCATTGTGTCACCGCCAGCATGCGAAGAGGAGGTAACATAGAAGGTCGGAAATCGGAGTAAAACCAGCGTGCAAGGAAAGGGAACCTCCCAAAAACCGCAGGATAGATGTGACCTCGAAAACAACAAGAACTCCGAAAAAAGAAGTGCGGCATGTGAAGATAATTATTATCAGAAACTTTAGCTGATATCTGAGCAATTAAAGTACCTCGAAAGACGCCGGACCTGCTGTACGAAAGGAAGGTGTGGAAGCTAAAGGTAGTTCGTTGGGTAAGCGAAGTTTACCACTAGTGAAAGCACCTGTCGAAGGGAAGAAGCCACGGGTCGGAACAAAATCTCCAGCCACTCGCGCAAAACCTGGAAAACGCAACTTAGAGACACCAGACTCTGAAGAGGTACGAAAAGATGAGGAAGTTGTGGCTGATTCCGCGAACAGTTCAAAAGAAGCCCCTAAACTGGATGTGGAGAAAGACTTACTACATGAGGAAGGTAAAGTGGCGGAACAGATGAAGCAGGAGGAGACGCACGATCAATCTTTTGGAGATAGTAAGTCAGCGAACGACGAAAAGCAAGATACTGCGCAGAAGTCGACCCCTAAGCAGGATGATGATGACTGGGAGAATTTCGGAAATACTAGCGATGAAGTAAGTTATTGACTCTACGTGATCATTACTGTGGATCTCTGTGTCGTAACTGTTTCTTCTATAAGCTTGACTTTAATCAGGAGGAATCGATCGCTGCTTCTGAGCCAGTTAAGAAGAAGAAGAAGGTCAAGCCCAAGACTACTGCATCTAAGCCACTCAAGAAAAGCATACACTCTGGTAAGCTCCCTTTAATAATTCACACTTAAACGCTGTGACCTTATCCTCTTTATCATGTCTATTTACTCCTAGAAAATTTTGTTGATGTGCTGAGGTCAGGCGAGTGTGTGGTCGCCTCTCTGTCTTACCTTAACTCATTTATGAAATTTTTCAAATAGCCTTTACAGACCCATTTGTTCGTCGTAGTGGGCGAAATGTGGTCCGCAAGAGTTATGTGGTAAAAGATGACGACGGGGAGGACTCGTTGAGTTCGTCACCGTCTGCATCGGATAGTGAAAGCGAAGGTGTAGGCCAGCGACAACTTCGACAGAGGTATAGATGGCGATTCCTATTAATAGGTTTCAAGTAGTGATAATCCACGAGTTCAGCCTGACACTGAAACTGAAGCCTCTTCGGTTGCCGAAGATCCAGATGATAGCGACGCGAGCTTCACTCCATCCAAAGCTCAGCAACCAAAACGAGGCAGCGGAGGAAAAGGCGGAGGTAGCAGTCGACCACAAGCGAGAAGTTCGAAGACAGAACGGTTTGCCCAATATTTCTTGGAATTGCATGGTGTACCGTTTCAGCGGCGCCATGGCGGAAATCTGAACTGCATGTGATCGGTCATGGTTTAACTTTCCTGGTTACATCGTTTACGGATTACTTGAACTCGGTTTTCAAGCCGCTTCCAACTTGATGCTCCCTCAGGATCCTCTCGCCTGAGCAGTGGGTCATGACTAC